ACATTTTATTATATGCATATTTGCATGCCATCAATCTATTCTACCTAAAAATTGGGCTACTCACGCCCAAGCCCAAGCCCAACCCAAGATTTGGGTTAATCTCAAGTTAGGCTTGGGTTGGTACACTCAAGCTTAGCCTTGAGTTTGGCCATGCCTAAGCTCAAGGTTTGAGACTTAGGGTTGGGCTCGGGTTGGCCCTCAACCCAACACAACTCACCCAAGTTGCACCCCAAGAAGTAGCATTGTGACTATCCTAATTGTATTAGTTATTTTTTATTTTTTTATTAAATTGGTTTTACTAAAATCTTCTTACTTTTTTGTTGTTTTCTTAATAAAATGTATTAATTTGTATTAACTTTATTTTTAAATAAAACTTTATAAATAAAATTATATTAAAATAATTTGTACTAATTTATATTATTATTATCTATATTTTTTATTACATTATTAACTTAATTAGTTAACTAATTTATATTATTATTATCTATATTTTTTATTACATTATTAACTTAATTAGTTAACTAATTTATTATGTTTTAATTAATTGGTTAACTAATTAAATAGGCTTTAATAATTAAGTTATAATTAGTTAACTAATTATATAATTATCTTATTATTTAGTTAATCTTTTTAATTATATAATCATTTTTTAAGTAAACTAAATTTGTTAAGTTAATTAATGTAATTAAGAAACTAATAACTAATTAATTAACCTTATTTAATTAAGGTTTATTGATTCATAGGGTTATTCCATTAATTTTATTTTTTATATTTTATTAATTATATTTTGAAATTCTACTTAATTTAAAATTATTAGCTTTAATGTTTGTTAAGAGAAACAAATTTTATTATAATTATTCATTTTTGTTTTAACTATTAGTATTTTTTGTACTTAATTGTAATTTTTACTTTTTATTATTTTTTCATTTTAATTATTCTTTGGTTACAATTTATTGAAAATAAGCATTAAAACTAAAAAATTACTAACTTGTATTATTTTATCATTTTTTATTAATTTTATCAAGAAGCAAGTTAATTTTGAATATTAGTTTCATAGTGAAATTTTAATTAAATAAACTGATTTTATAATTTAATTATTATATTATGTTCAATTAAAATTATAATATAATTAATTGAGTTATTGATGGAACACCTATCCATTTATTGAAAACCAAATATTCCAGATTCAGCATGCCTTCGTTCCTAGAAAAATGGAATAGTTATCAAAAGAAGATTGTCTTTGAAGATTGGTGTTAGATAGTTGCAATGAGCAAGAAGAGGATAATAACGTGGGCTAAGGAAGTAGTTGGGGATGATAAATATGAGAGAGAGAGAGGGAGAGGGAGAGAGAGAATTTGCCACTTTAATATGAATTGGGTTTGTGGTAGACAGAGCTTTGCCATGTGGCTTAATAGGAAGACTAAATTGAAGAAAGGGAGGAAAGAGAGAGAGTGAATGAGAGAGCAAAGTAGGGGTAAGGGAGAAAGGAGAGACGCTTGAAGAGAGATGAAAGAAGGGGGAATAGGAGAAGGAAAGGGATGCTGATGTGTGCCTTAATCGCTTTATAATATAGTATAGATATAAGGGCTTATAGGGTTTGCATCTTCCCTTGACCCATCCTTGCCGTTTGCGAATTCATGCCTTCATACTATGATTAACTTATTGGAGACGGAGTGATATATCTAACCCTTTCGAGCCTACATTATTATTTCCTTCTTTCTATGGTTTTATGCTAGAGCCTAGAGGTAGTGGCAGTGTTGGTTTTATCTTCATTGTATTTGCAAGTGATTTGATGCCTCCGTTTTGTTGGACAGTGCTTATAGATAGGGTCGGATACCTACCACCTGAAAAGACTGAACTGCCCAATCCAGGTCCCAGAGGCCTTGCATTCGTTGAGTTGATCAAAAGGGTCTTCTTCAAGGTTTTCCTGCCAAGAAATAATGGTAACTCTCAGTTTAGCTCCTTCACCATTCTTCTCTAATTTTTACGCCTATTTAGGCCAAATGAAGGCATCCCGCTAGCAAAAAATATTTATTCTATTGAAATAGATAAACACTGACTTCTATTCACTGCAGGCACTCCAAACGATGACAACTTTATGGAGACAGCCACATGAATCCTCTTCTGCCGATCAATGCCATATCCATTGTTAATTTATGGGTCCCTACATCATTTGTCACTGCTTGAACTCATGTCCTTTTTCCAGTCTTTCGACTTTCCTTTATTATCTCTGCTAGACCCTTCAACTTGTGAATCGTAATAAATCAAAAATTCCCACTGGTACTCTAAATGATCTCTCAAGTTGAACTGAAATGCTGAAAAGTATAAACCCAACTAAGACTGTTTGGCAATCAGTTAAGGTAAATTATTGAACTTCTGAAAGTTCAGTATAAAATGTTCCCTTAAAAATCCGATAAGGGTGTTTGGTGAAGCGTGAACATCATTGTCCAATCCACATTATTTCTAATAAGGAGTGTCAGGCATTTGACAATAGAAGAGGCACCGACTTGGTAATCAAGATATATACAACATGAATCAAAGGATTTTCAAAATGAAAATCAAATACAAGACAGAAGAAAAATAATACAGGTTCAAAATGCAAAAGGGATTATAGGAAAAGAGGGGGAGGAGACATGATGGAAGTTGCGAGCAGAGCTTTGATATAAATTTAATTGGATTCCTTGAGACTTGTCAGAAACTTCATATAGGCTGCGTTTGGATGTGGTGTAAATCTCGGTTTGCTGTATTTTTACACTCCGGTCCAGTTTTGCGGTCATTTGCATGAGGTGTAAAAGTACACAGAAGATCGGTGTAAACTCGATTGTGGAAACCTTTTTACTTCGATTATCAATGTATAAAACACCGATTTTTTTTAATGTAAAACTCAATAGAAGAAACGGCTCTTTCTTCCTCTCTCTCTCTCTCTCACCACTGAGTTTTTACTTCACCGTCCAGTTTCTTTTGCCACCACCCTCCACCACCGTCGTGCTTCTTTCCGTCATCATTCCCGACTCCGTGCGACCCCCCTCTCTCTCTTTCCATTTTCTATTCTCTCTTCCAACTCCATCATTTCCGATTCCGTGCAACCCCATTCTCTATTTTCTCTCATGATTTACACTGATCTTCCAAACGCATAACAGTGTAAAACTAAACATTGACCAGTCATCTTTTGCACTGACATGTCTGGCCATTTTTCTTTTACATCGATGTATTTTTGTATTTAAACCGCATCCAAACGCAGCCATAATTTATGAATACACGTAGAAGGCAGAACTTGCTAGTCAAATAAAGACTTATTTTGTTCTTTTTTTAATGGTGGAAAAAAAAAATCATCGAACCAGCAGATATGAAAGCACATAGAAACAAATCAACAACCTACCTAACACAGCAATCAACAGGACAAAGAGACACCAGCAAAATAGAAAATAAGAAAACTAAAAAAATAAAAAATAAAAACAAAAAGAACAAAATTAGCTAACTGAACTGGAATTGAAGAAGAAAGAAGTTATCCCAAGGCATGCCAAAAATAAAATATATATATATATATATATATATATATAAATAAAATAAAAACCATTTGATTCCAAGAAGCCTCTCCTACAAGACTCATGAGCCGTGCAGGCTTCTGTTCTCAGCAGTTACGAAATGTTATTAATAGAGTATTCTCTATCAAGGGTTTCTCTCAAATCAAGTAATGCAAGGGGCATAGGTTGTCATTTAAAAAAAAGGTAGTTTAAGAAAAAAGTCATAAAAACACAGGTCCAGATAAGGAGAAATGCAAAAAGAGCATTGAACTTATCAGACAAAACCTCCTTTTTCATCCATATAAGAAGAAAGGAAGGAATGCCCATCAAACGTCCCCAACCAAACTTTTCTCCTTTTCTCTAACCGGGAAAAGTTGAAAAGTCCTTAATGACTGGAAGTCAGAGCTAGTGTCTGAACTCCTGGCTTTGTTACAGCTGAATCTACATGCCCAAGATTCAAGGGTTTGAAAATGGGCACGGTCAGGGCCTCAGGGGAGTTTTTAGTAAAGACATTTTACTTGGGTCTAATTGGTGAACCCAAGCAGCATTTTCCAATGCTATATATGGGAAACCGCAGCACCATCAAAAGTATAATTTTTTGTTTGGGTGGTGTTCTGGGAGAAGTGCTCCATCAAAGAAAACATCTTCTGAAGTTGGGGTAATCAATATGGTGGTTGAGGAAATCTGGAACTGGCTATCTATATAGGCTCCATACCTAATGCATTTAAAGAAGAAATTTGTTTTAAGACTATGAATTACCTTTCCTTAAAAAGTTGACAAGTCCTTAAAACGGCAAATACCAAACGTAGCCTAAGTCTTGTCCCAACTATCTGCAGTTGGCTTGCTAAAAGATAAGAAATTCAAAAAAAAAAAAAAAGATCTTACAGGCATGAACTAGGAGCTTTTCCACAGCATTCTCTGTCTCTATCCTTTTGATCACTTTTGTGCATCTCATACCATAGGTTTATCCAGTTGCTTATCCATCCTGAACCAACACGGTTGGTGCATATCCATGCAACGACAGCACCTCGTGTTACAACTGAGGAGCATGTGCTGAAGAAGTTACAATCCAAGCTTGGTTCTGCCCTTGGACCCATTGACCCCATTCAAAATTTGATAATATGTACTATGACAACCTGGATACGGGTATTGGTCTTCTATCTTGATCAGAGAATATATGGTGACTTGAAATTGGAGCTTACAAACAATCGACTGTATGGAAGAAGGTTGGGTGAGGCCATCATCCATTTGGAAAACGTCAATGTCAAGACTGGTTTTAAAAGAAGGGAGGTCAGAAGAAACTCTCAGCAAAGAAACTGACTGCTGCCTTCGGCTGTTATACTGTTCTCATTCCAAATTTTCTGGAATGCTGGGGTTTTTCTACTTTCAATCTTAATACAATTACTGCTTTCTGTAGTTGAACTGCCTTAATAAAATCAAGTTTGTTTACCGTAACCTTGAACTAGGAGGGAAATAAACTATAAAAATGGACCTTTTATCAACTTCTTTGTGCAAAATATAAAAATTACTTCTGGAAAATACATTAAATGACGCTTTTTTCTTTGATATTTTATTTCTTATCCAAACTAAGCTCAACAGGAATGGATAAACTTGTAATTACAGCCTATAACAAATCCAAATTACAAGGGTGCAATCGTATGGTGCTTGAGGTGGGAATTCTTTCTAGGACACCAGACACGGCAGATTTTAATCCATCAAGCATTTGTTGAATATCCTGCCTCCAGGACCATGTAGGGTGAATTAGGGCACGCATTAAACCGAGGAAATGAGAAGGATACCACCTTCATGCAAAAGAACCTGCATTTTAACCAAAGAGAGCAGTCATGATCGTGTCAGCTTCTCCCCAAAACGTGGGAGTAGCAACAGAGGTAATGGTAACTGAGTAATTATCATATCATCATCGTCGTCTAGGCCTTGTCCTACCTATATGGGATCAGCTGTGCTGCCATTCTGTTCTATTCAATGACATATCCAATTACTCATTGTTAAAGAAAAGTAGTTAAAATCATTTTTCACTATTTCAACCCATGACTTTTTTGCCTGCCCCTCTTTTAGCCCCTTCAACCTGTAAAAGATCACTTTCTTACTGGTGCTGTGGTTGGTCTTTCATGTGCCCAAACCATCTTAGGCCACCCTCCCTCATTTTATTTTATTATTTTGAGAGAAGGTAAAATATTGTATTATATTGATAGATAGAAAATAAAGGAACATTTACAACAAGAAGTACTCAGGCTATACAAAAAAGTACCCCTGCAGCACTAACCCCCAAGCTCCGAATTACAAAAAGATTTCCATGTACAGAAAAGGAATTAAAACCTATATTTGTAAACAGCTTATGTGTAGCTAACCATTAAAACATCTTCCCCAACACCTGAACAACTGTATTGGCACAGCTGCATTTGTTCTTGAACATTCTTGCATTTCTCTCCTGCCACGAACACCAGAAAGCCACAGCAAGGATCAAATTCTAAGCCAAATTTCCACTTTTCTCAGCCCTTCAACCCTCCAACCCTTTACAAACTCTACCTTCTGTCCTTGGTCAACAGCTCTTTCCTTCAAACAGGTTCCATATTATAGACCATATTTTGCAAGAAAAACTGCAACGTAGCATTAGATGGTTTACTGATTCCAAGTGCCCTGCACACAGCACACAGTACACAGTCTCTAGTGAGGATTCTGTTCAAGTATGCAGTCCAAATGAGAAAAAAGCCACTTCTTTGGGTATTCTCTTGCACCAAATGATTTTGACAGGGACTGAATGCTCTTCTGAAACCAACAAGTGCATTGTCAAGAAAGTTCCCAGAGAATATTCCTGATTTCTCCCACTGCCAGTCTTCTATCCGAGCTCCCAATCTCCACCTGTGTGCTATATAATAAATGCAGCAATTCCACCACAGCATTCAGCTCCCAATCCTTCAGCTTCTCTTCCATCCTCTTTCTCTCGAGCACCTCAAAAGCCTTCTTAGAAAACTCCTCCCCACCCCAAAAAAATAATCCAAGACTTTTATCAATCTCAACTTCTCTCTCAAGAATTTTCTTGATAGGGACTCTACTAGATCCCTCCTGCTTCTCAAGACTGCTATCAGCCAATCTCACTTCAGAACTGACAGCTGATTCGTTTTCTTCTTCCACCTGATGGTCTGGACTGCTGAGAGCCTGTGAAACCACCTCCCCAAACTCTTCAAACGATGATGCTAAAACCTTCCCCCTTCTTTTATGAACCTTGTTAAATTTTTTTTGTTGGTCCAGCACCAACCAAGCCATGTTTTAACCAAGTAGACCAGTGCTAAAGAGCCTATAATGGTACGAGGGCAAGGTTTTGCATCCTCCCTTAACCCTTCTTACTATATATTATTTATTTATATATAGATAGATGTGTTTATAATCAGGTATTGGGAGTGGGTACCCACGTTAAGTATAATTTGGGTTTGGCCATTTGGGTACCGGGTACCCTAAGGTCAAAACCCAAACCCTATAGGGCTTTGATAAACGGGTCCTGTTAGGGTCGGGAGGGGTTTGCTACCCTAAAATTCCTGCAAAAATTGCCATCCCTATTCATTACCCCACCCCCTCAGTAAATCAAAAAAAGAAACCAGACAATACATGACAAAATCCTCTATCCATCAAAATTGAGAAAACATTGGAAAATCAAAGAACTGGTTTGAGGGTAGCCACAACAAAAATGTTAAAATGGTTGGGAGAAACTATGAAGGATAAAATTGGAAAAAGGATGTCTGTGTGAGCCTAAGGGTAACCCAATAGGGAAAGAGACATCCAATCACACATCTTACCAATGAGTCAATGACTGCACTAATGAGAAGGAATCTTTTGCAGGTGGAAGGTTCTAAGAGGATGAAGGGATGTGAATTAAGTGACATGTCAGAACAGCTTCTATGATGCTGAACCCAGAATTGGGGACAAGGCATACCCAGGTTGAACTTGAAGCCTAATTAATGTGTGATTGGATATAAGCAAGGAAAGGAGCTCCTCTGAATAAAAGAATACAAACAACATACAAAATAAGGGCCACAAACTACAAGTGTACATCTGCCACACATTATGAGATTTATCCTATTTCAGCTGGAAAAGGTTGAATTTTGTAACAGAATTCTTAAGATATCCATTATGTGGTTCAGTGTTTGTTCTAAAAAGAAAATTGCATGCAAAAACCTACAAGAAACTATCCAGAATTTGTAGATGTCTCTGCAGGTGCAAGGGAAGCTGGGGGTTCTCTGTGGATTACTTTCTTGGCAATCATGTTATGGATTTATGGTTGGTTGTATGGGCCTCTGGGATTTCTAGCTCAGAATGCCATCATGGAAGGTTTGGAGATTTTCTATCCATCTTTGGGAAGTGAAGCAACAAAGATTTCTAAGGAAATCTTCTGCATTTTGTATTGAGATTCCAAAAAGAGAGAACAATAAGAGCTTTAAAGGGGAAGCATTCTCCAGYAGAATGCATGATATAAATGGGAGGATTGAAGAAGGAATGGAATACCTGTGGTAGGCAGGTGGAAAAACTAGAGGCTTCCCCTCCTTTGAAAGCATTGAATTTGATTATAAATATGCTTATTACAAAACCAACCAGAATTTAAAGTCCTTTTAAGGATGGCATGGATAATTATAACCATAGTTACTTCATTTGTGGTTCACTTGGTTTGGATTCAGGTTCATAATACACATTTCATGTTCGTTAGATGAATTGGGTTCATTAGTGTCAAGCTTCTCTTTTTTGCCCCCTATAACTTTGTTCATTTTGTTGTTTCAAATTTGTACTGTACAACATCCAACAGTTTGTTTAGAGTACCACATTGAAGTATGAAGCATTATATGATTGAGAAATTACAAGTGGGTATTGCAGGAAATAGCAGTTTTCTTTTATTAATATTTGGTTTTTAATTGCTTAAGAGTTAATACCAATGTTATTCGAAAAATCAAGGAGAGATCCTAGATACATAAACTTTTAGGGTTTTATTTCTTATCTGTCAAATTTTTTGAAGTTTTTATCAGTATTTCTTTCTCCAAAATTGCCTATTAGTCAGCAACACATTCATTTTTACAAACTTGTATGAACTAACTTGAAAATAAGGTAACTATGATTATAATTTTCATAAGCAATCAACTAGATAAAGTAGAGCTGTGGTCTTTATTTGAAAGAAGCAAATTTTTAAGTCTTTTCCCCAAGGCCCTACTTGGTAGAAGAAAATTCACTTATGTGGAGCTCAGATACCTAAAGACTCATCCTTTGGAGGTTACTGATTACCTGACAATGACGTTATGTTCAACAACTTGGACAATCTGTTACAATAATATGATTTCCCAGAAGGAAGAATCTTTGCTTACTTCTTGCCATTTCTCATTACATTTCCTCCTTTATCTTCATGAAATTATATTGAAAAGAAAATACATTACACTGAAAAATGACATGATCTGGAAATTAACTGAATTTTTCTTGAATACGAAATCTATACACAAGGGATCTATGGGTTCACTGCCAACATATGCAAATTCGTATTTATCAATGTCTTTTGACAGATGATGACCAACAATGGTGGGTATGGTACCCTTTACTCCCCTTGTTATAACTTAAGAGATGATTTTATTATACACAGAGGTTCAACCAGATTGTGGAAGGCATGAAGGGAAAAATAAATAAATAAAACTTTGGACAGTTGTGCACTTGTGCTTTAAAAATGGTCTAGTTCATGTCTGGACTGAGTACAACATGATTGTTATGGTTACACATTTTGGAAAAATGGCAAATGAAGAGGTTGCTCATGTAAATGGCTAAGGTTGTTCAGAGAATATATATTGTCTCAAGGGAGTGGCTTGGGTTGGGGCACAAAGGACCACTAATTGTGGTGGTCTGGTTTCCTCATAACTTACAACATGACAGATTATTAAGAAGATCAAGACATACGTCATGACCTACATCAAAATCAGAGATTCCAAAGAAACAAATATGTCCTTTTAACATCGTCCAACTATTTTCTTCAAAACCTTGCATATTTTATAGTATTTTAAGCTGATCATTGGCTCAGATAATCAATCTTCAAAGTGGGAATTGTTGAATTGTGGGTCCTGATCATCCAGATCTAAGACAGATCAGAAGTCGCACATGACCAATTACAGGTCCTGCTCCCCAGACCCAAGCTTCTGCTTTGTAGTAGCCACCTTTCACATTTCATAAGATAAACCGACTCAACAGACAAGAACGGACGTCTAGTCATTACATCCTCAATGGTGCTTCAATCCAATTTTACTGGGACAACATCAAAATTAAAGGGAGGGTCTACCCAAGGACTTGGTACTCAGCAGGAAACTTCTAGCAGCATCTCCATGAAGTTCAGAAAAAAGGAAAAATTGAGGCACTTAAGTAAGACATCTCTAGAAAGAACACATCCTATAGGGAGTCAAAACTTCAACTTGCTTGCTTTATTTTTAAATCATTTATTTAAGTAAATATTATTGAACAGAATAGCCCTGTATCATATTTTTGAAGGTTGATGTGCCAGACACCTTTTGATATCTGAATACTTGGCACTTATGCAACATACCAAGGTAGGGCCCTTTAGGTACTGAAGGCAGACCTAGCAAAATAAAATATATTTCAACATCACCAACCAGTTCAATTGCTTTCAATGTCAATATTACAAAGCATTATTAATGTCAAGATAGTTTCACATATTAAACAATAAAAAGTGAAATTCTAGGAAATGGATTTAATTTAGAATATACCAAGATGATGAATTAGAAACCACCTGTATCTCTTGAGATGGTTCTTTTTTTTTATGGATAACGAGGTAGAATTTTATTAATATAAACAGGAAAATATGTACATAAAAAGCTCCCTGTGGAGAGGTAATACTATCTCACCCAAAGAAGAAGAAAAAACTTACAACTGAGACCAGAACAGTTGTCCCCTATTTACCCCTTGCTTGGCCAAAGAGTCAGTCAAGCCATTTGCCAACGTGGGTACCCATTGAAATCTAATCACCATATTCCTGATCAACCATATAATTTGCTTTAACACATCTCTATAGCTCCATACTGCTGTTTTCTCATCTTTTAGCCACCCTATCATCACTTTTCAAATTCAACTCTTTTGCTTTTTGTAGCCCACAAAAAAAAAAAAAAAAGACATTAGTTCAGCCTTTGTAGAGTCTCCTATATCTTCAGGGCCAAAAAACAAAGCTTGTATAGTAGTATATAACCTTCCTTATCTCTAAAAAAACTCCTCCCATGCCCGAAGGTCCTGGGTTGCCTGAACTACTCCCATCAAAATTTAATTTTATGTAATTGTCTTCAGGCGGTTCCCAATCTTTCTGTGCTTTACTCTTCCTTGAAGAGGATAAAGCCACCTCCCTCCAATTTCTTCTAATATCATCATGGGAATATGATGAGAAAATGTCCAAAAATTTTACCCGGTGAATCGCCCTTCCTAAGATGCACTCCAAGATTGCTTCCAAGTATCTCTTGAGATGCTTTTCACTTAATTGAACTTATCCTCAGACTTTAAACTGCCATAGATTTTATCAATACCCATGGTGTTTGCAACTCTCGATGTACTTGTATCATGTTCACCAGTAAGCATCATTATATGGAACTTTGCCTGATCAATGCATCAATGACATCTGCAACACCTGGTCAAGGCTTCTCCATTACAACATAGAACTGCCATAGATGTATCAATGAACAGAAGAGGTTTTTTTGGGGGCACAATTTTGAACTTGTGGCTGCAACTGACATCTTCACTTCTTTACTAATAAGATCGCAGTACAAAATGCACGATCCATATCTGGTCATGTTACTACAAATCATGCAGGGATGCACTGCTAAAATGGTAGCATGCAGTTACAATCACAACATGAATAAGTGGATCAGATCCTTGGAATTAAGTGATTGAGAAATCTGAAAGCAAGGTAGAGATGGAATAAGTATAATGAAAAGGAGATAAGGCACACATTTGATTCACTATATTAACTTTAATGTAAGCCCTAACCAATGGGCTTGAAGCCTTGAACAATTACAAAGGCATAATTTACAGAAGTTAAACAGTAGCATGAAAAGGAGATTAAGGTGCACAACAAGAATAATGATTATGAATAGATTTTTGAGTAAGTGATTAGGAATGGGTCCTTACATCACATTTCCTACAGAAGTAGTGATCAATAGGACAAAAACATAATAAAGTCATGCCTAAGAGGATAACATTGTTTGAAACCTAACTTCACAAAAAATAAGTTAAAAGAGGTCTGATTCTCCAGTGCCAAGGTCTAGAAGTCTTGCAAAGCATATAGGATAGAGCTTCTAATTGGATTTTTTTTTTTTTGATAAATGACCAAGAAGTATATGTATTACTATAATGGAGGGTGAGGGAACCTTGGTACATTACAAGAGTATATGACTGTAAGTACTCACAGAACATACAAAAGAGGTGTAAAGCAAAAAATAATAGATATACACTGATCTCAAAAGATAGACAGCTGAACCAAACAGAATTCCAATTGGATTGAATATGGATCCACCCCTATTCGATCTGATATATTCCAATTCGACTAGATTTAAATGTATATGCTTATATAAACTTAACATTTACATTCCATCTATTAGTAAAGTTAGTTTGAATGTTGTACTTTTACTAGAATTATCGGTTCAGGTTTTATGAAATTTATTTTCAATATATTTTGTTCATGATAATATCAAAAACATTTTTAATTCATTTTATTAATAATATAATATTTTGATAAGTTCTAGTTTAATTTTGTTAATGCTGTTCAATATCTGATTGCAATTCAGATTCGAATTCGAATATAAACAAACCAAAGTTGGATTTACCTTACATCTGATTTGATCAGATCCATTTGCAGGCCTAGTTTTATTCCAAAGATTCATCTATGAGCAGATTTTTTGCAGCTTCCCTTTATCTCACTCGACTCATACACAGATTTACAAGTGATGTGATGTACTCCACAGAACTATGTGATCTCTCTTGACTCATACACAGATTTACAAGTGATGTAATGTACGCCACAGAACCATGTGATGTCTATAAAGGTTACTGTCTCCAATTCCTGACTACAACAAAACAAAGTGAAAGTAGATTCATGTTACCAAAACTACATACTTAAAAGGTTAATGACATCATATAGAAGCTACTATCCAGATATATTCAATGATTCTTTCCTACAAGTAACAAAGTCTAACATTTTTATTTCCTATTACTTACAGAAAGCACTAAGGTTACAGATGAATCCTGGACATATAAGTGGTGTTTGGTGCGTCCTTTTGGCATGTCTTTTTGTCTGCAGAAAGCTCAAACGACCAAAAAATGGTCTTTTCTGTTTGGTATATGTAGGCCAAAAGACGTGAAGATGTCTGCATGGAAATACTGGAAAAGATGAAAATCAAGAAGCTTCAAATGAAGCTTTTGGTCTTTCCATGCTGAAAAGAGCCTTCCCAGATGTTTTTAACAGCATGGTAGACCATGATGCCAAATGGTCTTGATCTTTAAAGACAAGACCCCAAAAGCTCAGCACATCTTCTTGTCTACTGGGCTGTTGAAAGATATACCTAGAAAGGCTTGCCAAACAGCCCCATAATCTTCTTATGATAGTGTGTATGTGGATGGTTGTTCAGATACACTGTTTCTTAGTCCCAAACAGCCCCAAGTCCATCTTGTTGAAAACCAAGGGATTAAACTTCAATTGCAATGTGATTTAGTCCCATGGAAGTGGTATTAATTTGTGGAAATTTAAGGGAGTTCATTGTAAACATTGCAAAACTACAGAAGTTGTGGACAAATTAGGGAAACATTTGAAATTGAGTTTGAAACTTTACAAAATTATAGAATAAGTGTGCACACTAGCAACTGCTAATATAACCAACATAATTATTTAAAATAAGAAATATAATCAATGATATATTCTACAATGTATGCTTGATAATAAGAAGATCCAACTTATACATACATAGATAGTATCCATAATCATAAAGTATTATTATCTCCAAAAGCCAAACCCTTACAGAAATAAAGACACACAGCTTACATAATGGTTGTGAAAATGTCACACATGTTACACATAGAAGCAGAATAAATTCATCTAGTAGGATATTTTTTTAGAAAGAAAGAAATACATAATGTTTTAATAATTGTTTATACAAGCAACCAAAGTTCTACAAAACAACTCCTAATCATATGTTCAAAAAGAATTTGTTCCTGTTGATTTTTTGCATAGGGATTTCTTAGGTAGAACCATTTGAAAGTGTGTCCTGACTATTTTGTATATTATACCCAACCCTTAAACTATAAGTGGCTTGTTACCTGTCTTAGTTTTATATCTGTAACTGAAAACATTATTCTAAGAGGGATAAATAAGAATTGTTGTCAAACTTTTTTCAGTACAAAAAGAAGTGGAAGACAAAAAAGGAAGAAACAATAGAAGAAGTTTGTATTTATCCCTTGAAGTATTATTTATTATATCCAAGTATTAAATGAACAAAATGCCTTCAAAACTGAGGATATTTTGGTTGGGCGGTGTTTCCTTTGCCACCTCACTCTCTCAAACACACACGCATACATGCACACAACCAAAACAGGAATTTTAGTCCTCTCCATTTCATTCCTATATAGGAATGGACTTTCTGGGAAAAATAGATTTTATTATTGCTCTCTTGTGCTGTTTCTTTTTTTTTTTTTTCTTTGAAGGTAGATTTTATTAATCACAACTGTAAAAGGGATGCAAGGAAGAGAACGAAAGAATCTTCTTCATATAAACCTGTGTACATACTTGACAAAAAAGACAGAAGACAGGGAAACTGAACAAAACTAGTAGTGTCTGACTATTTCATCCCACTGGGAACCAAAACCAACCCTGGTACATATGCAACCAAAACCATGTAGTTTTATTTGTCCAATGATGTTTTTCTTAGGTCCCAACTGAAACCATATCATTTTGGCCAAAATAATTCACTTTGGCTTAAGTTCAAAGCCATATTCAAGATTCATGACATTATCTATTGGCCAATAGAGTCTGTGACTCTATATTTTTTTTCTTGGAAGTGTAACCAAGGTTTTATTAGATGAGTGAAAAAGAGGAAACGGCTGTAGACTGAAGGACTTGCACAGCCTCAAAAAGAGAGAGAGAGAGAGCACCAAGAATCACAAGAAACAAAACAACGAACAGGAAAACCAAACACCAAAAGGAGCAAGAAATCAAAGACATCCTAAACCTCAAGAACAACACAATCACAGAAAGTAGTTAACACTCTAATATATCTGATTCCTTTTCACCTCATACTTGTTCAAAAGATCTGCAAGGAAATTAGCCAGTCTTGTAATTCACTTGAATGGAATACTTGTCTGAGAGTCTCCTTTCACCTCCACTTGATCAAACTCCATAGCATAAACCAACCTAAGTCATGGACTATAGAATGGAGCTGAGCCCCAACAGGGTCCCATATCTATAGGGACACAAATAAACTGGAATGACATCTCTCACGTGCCTCCTGAAGGCACCTCAAAAACCCTGGTTGGCCACAATATCCAATCGACCATCCATAAAAAATTAATTTAGTAACTCCTTGGGAGGAACCCAATTACTACAAAAGCTGATTTTGAAATTGAAGATAAAGTTATTGTCGCCCACCCTCTAACAATATTATCTACAAAAATCCCCTGAAGCTCCTGAAGGCACCTCAAAATTCTTTGATCTCAGCCGCCAAAAATTACTTGACTTTCTGATTTCAAAAGGTTAATTCCCAATCACCACAATATCATCAATGTACACACTCAATGCGTTAATGCAATTTCCTCTAATGCTAAATAAAGAAAATGTGATTTACGTGACTTCGAACATTTTCCATCTTCTTAGCATCACCACTGAATCTATCAAAACCAAGTTCGATGAGACTGGTTGACAAAATAGACAGATTTCTTAAGCTTATATCTTCAATCCTATGAGTAACAAAACCATGAGGGGGTAGTATATATACTTCCTCCGACAAGTGTCCACTGAGGAAGGCATTCTGCAGAACAAAATAGTCCAGCACACATATTCCAGCATAAACAATCAACCCCTGTGCGGCAAATATGAGGGAAATAAATAGATACTGCAGTCTCAGTACTTCATCATACCAGTGAAACAACTATCAATGGTTCAAGAAAAAGAGTAGGAGTCTAACGTGTAAGTCAGAACTCCATCAATTTCTCATTGAACCACGGCAACCAAATAACCAGAAAATGTAGTTTTCCGTTTTCAGAGAAAAATCCATAAAGGAATATCTAACAGCCCGCTAATTGGTTCGAAATCACAAACGAAAAGAAAAAACTATTTGGCCGGGAAGCAGGGTTTTCTCACCTATATGGCCGACTGCCATCTTCTTCAATCGATCTACTCTTATCCTGCTCCCATACGAAAGAAGAACCATCCAATTTGATGTGAGAAGAGAAGAGGAAGAAGGAGAAAGGGTGATATCGAGGCAATGTTCGATTTTAGGGAAAATTCCCGATAGGAATCTGTAGTTTAGGCCGAGTTAGCATCCGAACTTTCACTTTGCAACAATCTAGTAATCCGGCATTAACCAGCCATTAAATAATATGCAAAAAGACAAAAATGTCCAAGTGTAAACTCTCAACCTTCCATAATTAAGTACTTGTTTAACTACTTCGCTCTCCCAACCATCTTCACCGAATAACTTCCCTGTGGGCTATACCTGCACGACCACAACGGCACCCTTGGCGACGACGAAGAGGATTCTTCATCTGACGAACACGATGACGATGATGATGGGGAGAATTCCTCTAACAACTCCAACATTCCTTCCAACTTCCTCTCTTTCAACTTTGCCTTCACCACCTACACTAGAGCTTCCGACAGATCGCCGTAGTCGATGCAAGCCATTAAATCGCCCACTAAGAGGGTTGTAATTGCGGTTGCGACCGTTTCATCACAGCTTGCCAGGGTGTATGGGGAGATCTCCCTGATTAATTTCATGTCATCATCTACGACGGCGACGGAGGCCTCATGAGACAAGGAACTGGAGATTAAATCCACAGTGGAATAGTCCAGATCGTGATATCCGATGGCTAGGACTTCAGTGCCGATGATGCCGAGAGAATCGATCGACAGAGCCGGGATGGGTGGAAAGAGGCTGATGGAGCTCAGGAGGAACCGGATGACATCCTCTTGGGTGAGCCAACAGAATTGACGTCCATTGTGTAATTGTGTAGAGTGGGACCAAATGAAGATTTTTGGAGGAGCTTTTCTTGCTACTGATGCCGCTATGTATTGTAACTACCACGTTTTGGGCGCCTTGCATTATAAGATCAAACAGAGTCTCCGACGAATATGGATTAAGGGGTGTTTTGTAGTGTGGATAAGAAATTGGTGGGTGTGGGATCACACCCTGTGAGGCAGGGGCCAATCCATTCCACACCACAGTTCACAGGTGTCTGAACTGTGAACAAACTGTGTGGATAGGACCAATCCACACCCATAGTGACGTTCTGTGGTGTACCACACTTTTTTGAATGATATACATAATTAATCATAAATATGTAATTTTTACATTTTRTATGATAAATATTTTAAAAAATGCATCAATGAATTAATATTAACCAAAAAATATCATTTTTTTTATAAAACAATAGTAAAAGATTTGAGTATTAATGCCTAGAGCTGTTACCAAGTTTACTTGCTACTTCTAGCAAGCAAAGCAGTAAGGGAATGAATAAGATTGAGAGTGAGGCCAGTTTAGTTCTCTAAACGTACAGTACTAAACACCAAAGAGAACCCAAAGCAAACAATACCAGCAAGCATCTATATATGTACATAAGAGTGAGTAACCCATTGGACAGTAAACTTCAATAAAAATTTTCTTCTTGTGTTGTAGTAAAAAAAAATCAAAATGATTTAATGCAGGATCAAAACAAATGGTGTAGGCTTAAAGCCTCGTTCGGATGTAGTAAGCATGCTAGGTG